AAAATACTTTTGTATTTTACTTGTCTAAGTTAAATATTTAAGGCTAATTTTTTTATTTGTTTAATATTTTCTATTCATTAAATATACTATTAGATAAATGCTTTTAATTAATTATTAATTTAACAATCTATTCTATATATTATATATTAAAATAAAAAAATAAAATATTTAAGTAATCTATTATTATAATATAATATAAGTAAGAAATTATTTGACAAATTTTTCTAGAATTTTAATTCTTTCAATTTTATATAAAAGAAATTCTATTTTATATAATCTGATTTTTATTTGATTTGCAAATGATATTTTATAAAGAAATTTATAATTAAAAACTTTTTTATAATATTCTGTATCTGTAAACTTTCTAAATCTTTCAAATTCCCTTAGTAATTTATTATTTAATTTAAACTCTTCTCTTAGAATTTTTAAAAATTAAATATGCTTAGCTTAACTAAATATTTAAATATCTCAATTAAGAGATTTTTTCTAAATCTGATTATATTTTTTATATTATTATATAATAATCCATTAATTATTTTTTTTTTAACATCTTTATTTATTAATATATATAATATATATTTTTATTAATTTAAAACATTTAATTATATAACTATCACTTTTATAAAAAATCTTACTATATTTTAAAAAACTAAACTTAGTATATTTTTTTAACTTTTTCATTAACTTTTAAATTTGAATCTAAATATAATAATAATATTTATCCTATTACTATCTATATAATCTATCTATAATATATAATACAAATTTTATATTTTATTATATAATAAAAATATTAAATTAAATCAATAGTTTAGCTTATTACTATTCTTTTTAATTACTTATTTTAATCTTTTTAATATTTTAAAAATTAAATTAAGAAGATTTTAAATTTGATTCTCTCCTATTCTTTTTTAATTATATTAATAAAAATATCAAAAGTAATTAGTTTTTTTAATCACAAGTATATTAACCTTTTTTTCTATTTCTTCATAATTAATTATAAATTTTTAATTAGATTAAGATCCAAACTATTTAATAGCTAATTTTATAATCTCAAATATTACTTAGAAAGAAGTTTTTTAATTTTTTAATTATATATTTAAGATTATTATCTTATTAAAAAATTTCTAATAAAAAAAATTCAATTTGACTTTTAATTAAAAATACACTTATATATAAACTTTATATAGGTATTTAACTATAAATTTTTATAAAGATTATATATTAGCTTTATAAAAACTTTAAAATATTTGAAATATAATTTCATCTAAAAAGACCATTTTGTTTCAATTTTGCCTTTAATATTTTATCATAAATTTAACATAATACTACTTATAAAGGTCTATAAGTAAAATATAATTTTTAGGATTTTACAAATATCATAAAAATTATAAAGATTTCTAAATACAGTCTTTTTAAATAAATTAAGGTTAAAGTATTTTTATTCAAATTATTTGCAAATTTAGTATATCAGATATATAGATAATTTATTTTTTAAAATAAACTTTTCAAGATAATGATATTTTTTTGAAAAGTTTTCTTAGCTTTTTGACTAGAGTAAATCTTTTATAAAATCATATTTTTTTTAAATTTTTTTATATAGTTATATATAATAATAGAAGTTATTTTATGCAAAGCTTTAGCATTATGAGTTCCTTGATTTCATAAAATTATTATAATAGTTTTAGCATTATTTTCATTTAAATGGCTAATATATATTCATATAATATTATTAATAAATTACATATTGCAGAAAAAATTGAGTTTTTTATCTCAAATTTTATTTTAAAAACTTTTGTCACAAATTTTAATTATTTATTCTTTTCAAACTTAATGCTAACAGATCCTAACAGATCCTTTATTGTTATTTTTAATAAGCAAAAAAATCAATAATCCTCTAATATTTTACTTCGTTTATAGTAAGTGAAACGTTGATAATTGCAAATATTATATTGATTTTATATAAATTAATAATATAGTAAAAAATTATGTGATAATGGAAATTGAACTGTATTAGAAAGATATAAGTATCTTCGAGCAAGGTCTTTATAAAATCAAATTCAGCCTGTACATAAGAGCTTTAAAAGGAAACAAATATACATGCAAAATTTTAACATAAATTGATTATGTAAATTTTTTAAAAAAATGGTTCTTACATGACCACTGATTGTTAAAATAAAACTTTTAAAAAAAGTTTATATAATATTAACATAACTTTTTATTCGAGAATATTTATTAAATTAAAATTCGTGATTAATAGAAAATTTAATAGGTATCCGTTATGTCGTGATAGACCCATCATCCTATTTACTATTCAAATATCCTTTTACCGGCTGAGTATGCAAATCAATTAAATTTACATCATCAAGTGGCATCATCAGATCAATAGTTAGTCATAACTACGTCAATACATATGATCACCAGTTTCGGATCCTTGAATCGAATGATTTAAAAATTATATCATAACATGTTGAAAATTTAAATATAAATAGACATAGTTGAACATAGTGAGAATCTAAAAAAATTTAAAGATTATAAATATTTATATAAAAAAATGGACCCAAAGAACACCGTAAACACTGTAAGTAGAAATTAATTACCTTTTTTTACCTTAAAAAAACGTACTATTTTGTACTAAAAACTATGAATTAATAGGACAATAATACAAAGACATCTGCTCCGGCAGAAATTCATACCTCGGTTGAAGAGGCAAAAAAGGCTGAAGAAACAGCGCGTCAAGAACGAATTGAAGATAAACAAGCCGAATTAAACGCACATAATGAAGCAAATCTATTTAAAAAAGAAATAGAACATAAAGACAAAAAATGATTCTATATGAATTTAATTATTTAAATATTCATTCATTTCTTCTTTAAGCAGTTTAATCATAAGAAAAATATTAATTTTCACAATATATATATATAAATAAACAATGATTTAAAAAGTTATTGTTTTTTAACCGTGAGAAATCTGTGTAACATCTGCATAATTTAAAGAGAGAAATTTTCTCATCTATTTTTTATTGATATTTTATTTTTATTTTTTATTTTTTTGAAAGGAAATAAATAAAAAAAATGCCTTCAATTCCACTAACTTTGGAAAATTTTGAAGAAATTGCCAACTGTTCAGAATCGCAAAAATCAGCGATTGATGAGATTTCAAAAGGATTTGAAGTTAATAAAACAAAATTTAATGAAATTGTTAACCATTTTCGTAATGAAATGAAGAAAGGACTTGAAATGCGTGGACAAACGGTTGCAATGGTTCCCAGTTATGGTAATTTATAAATTTAAAAATTCTTTGACTTGAATATCTTTCTACTTGTTCGCTCTCCTCATCGTATAGTTACTTTTGTATAGTTACTGGAGTTCCAACCGGAAAAGAAGTTGGTACATTTCTTGCACTTGATCTTGGTGGTACAAATCTACGAGTATGTCTGATAAAATTTGAAAGTGAAGGAAATATGTCCATAAAACAACAAAAATATACAATATCGGAAACATATAAAACTGGGGAAGCACGTCAATTATTTGATTTTTTAGCGAATTGTATTGATAAATTTTTAGCTGAACTTGATGAAACCGATTATAAAGGATCATCTAGGAAGGGAGGAAAATTAAATTTGGGATTTACATTTTCGTTTCCCGTTGAACAAACTGCTATCGATAAAGGTACTTTAATTAGTTGGACAAAAGGCTTTACTTGCGTTAATGCTGTCGGAAAAGATGTTGTATTTATGTTACAAGAAGCCTTAAACCGTAAAGAAGTTCCTGTTAAAGTTGCTGCTTTAGTTAATGATACCGTTGGAACTCTTCTGGCTCATGCTTATAAATACCCTAATACTCTTCTTGGAGTTATTTTGGGTACCGGTACAAATTGTGCTTATTTCGAAAAAATCTCAAATATCAAAAAATTGCAATCCTCTTCAAATGCCGAACATATGATAATAAACTTGGAATGGGGAGCTTTCGATAATGAGGTAAACATTATATTTTAAATTTGTTTCTTCGTATATATTTTAATTAAAAATTCGGTATATTATATTTAGAAAAAAGTGCTTCCTATCACAATGTTTGATAATAAACTTGATCGAGAATCAAATAATCCTCGACTTCAAATTTTTGAAAAGTTGGTTTCAGGAATGTATCTTGGAGAGATAACAAGAAATATTTTACTAAATCTTATTGATAGGGAATTGATTTTTGATGGTATTTCTTCAAAAGATCTCAATACTCATTACTCTGTTGAGACGGCATATTTATCAACAATAGAAAGTGATGATACTGATACACTTGAGAATGCAAGAAAAATTTTAGAAGAGGAATTAAATATACCTTCCACAACGTTAACAGATCGTCAAATTGTAAAAAGAGTTTGTCAAATTGTTGGATTACGTTCTGCTATATTATCTTCTGCTGCATTATCAGCCATTATAACTCAATGTAATGTTATAAAAACTGGTTGTGATATCGGTATTGATGGTTCTTTATTTGAATTTTATCCCAGTTTTGAAGCTCGTATTAAAAGTGCTTTCAGAGAACATTTTGGTACAAATGCTGATAACTTCAAACTCGGTTTGGCTCGTGATGGTTCCGGAGTTGGTGCTGGTAAATATATACTGTACATATATTATTTTAAATTGTTAACATAATTATAACTAACTATGTTCATTTTTAATATAGCTTTGGCTGCTATGTTAACTACTGCTAAATAATCACGAATTGGTCTTTCACGTGTTTTTAATTATCATAAAAATAACTTGCACATATATATATTGTATAACGTAAATAAATAAAATTAAAAACACATATATATTTATAAAAATATAATTTATTTTATTAATTATCTTACAAGTTCACGATAAATAATTTCATTATATGTAGCCTAAAATTGCCTTGAAATTATTTTTTTACGAAACTAAATATTTTTTTTTACTAGAATGATTTATTTAAAAGTAGTATAGAAATTTCTTAAGCTATAAAAATGTTATTGTAAAGATCCTATGTCTCCATTGCTGCTCCCTCCTCTTCTTCACTATCTTCCGCTCCTTCCTGTACTACAATCGGTATCTCAAATTCTTGATCGCATCCCATATACGAGTCTGACATATAGATTAATTTTAATAAATGTTCACCAGCTTCTGGTGGACATGTAAAGTCTAATTTTACACCAAGAGTTTTATTTAAGGTAATACGTTTAATACCAAGTAATGAATTCTTTTCCATGTCACCTAAAACGATCCACCACCCTTCATCTTTCTTATGTGGGAAAAATGGTGAAATAACCGGTCCTACTATTTCATCATCGTCATCAACTTCACGGTTCAGTTTTACTTCAATGACACCTTGAGAACCTGCAATAAGCTCATCTTCGTCCCTTACATTAAACTTGACATCAATACTGGGGTATCGATTAACATAACGAGCAACTTCCCGTAATTGTCTCCCATCCATTCGGAGTATCTCATTTCGATCTTCGTCTTCGAGTTCGATAATCTCGAAAACTGTATCAATATCTCTTTCTTCACAACGTTTAATGATATCTGATGTGAAATAAGGTATTTGTTTCAATGGTGAATCACGATCCCATAGAGCCTGCACACACATTTGTGCTAACTCCATGGCAGCTAATGCAGGTTTCAACCATCCGTTGGAACTTATAACATCAACAACTGCTTGGATCAAAGGAATAACTTTGCCCAAAACAGTTGCTTGATCAGATTGTAAATCTGGTGGTAATTGTGTCCTTGAGAAATGAGCTTGTAACAAAATATTGGTTTTGATATGTGGAGAATTGAATTTCGGATTTCCAAGTTGGACCGGAAGTCGATCATAAATCTTCTTAAGGACGCTATCTTCATGATGACGGATAGGAATAGACTCAAATTCAGCCGCCGATGACAAAATCTCCAAAAGTCCTTTAAGCTTGGTTTTTTCATTCAAACTCATACTGAACATTTCTACTGTTACATAACTAACATTATAATAGGCAGCGATCATACCTAAATTAAGTGGTGAAACGTCTAATTCATCTTCTAGAGTAATACATTTTGAAGCGGCCAAATCGTTGACAGTTGTCTCAACTAATTCGGATAAGTGGTCTGATAAATGCCTATGATCGGAACCTTGCATACCATAATAATTTGGATTTTCTACCATACGGCGATATAAAAATGTCCAAGTAAGATAATCGACAGCATCTTGTTTATTCTCAACAGTTTTCGTGACTATCTCAGCATTGAAATGGTCATGTAAAAAATGATCCAAATGCGACTCCACAGGTAATGCTTCATACAAGAATTTTTTATAAAAGTCTTTCTTGATTGCTTGACACATCAATACACAACGACCAGTTTCGTCTTGTCGTGGTCGACAAGCTCTACCCATCATTTGAAGAACATCCGTTATTGGGTAATCGGCATATCGATGCTCCTTACCCTCAAAGAATTGAGTTCCCATAATAATAACCATATGACAACTCAAATTTATGCCCCAGCATGTATCACGTGACGCCACAACGACTTGAATTGCACCGCTTTCAAATAATTCTTCTACGATTCGTTTATCTTGTTTGCTCAAAGCTTCGTGATAAAAACCAACGCCATGTCGTAGGGTTTCAGCTAAAGCCTTATCGTTTACATTATTCAAATGATTTTCAATATCATTAGCATGTGCATGTAAGAAGCGATCTGGTGTTCCGTCAGCTGCACAAAAAGTGAGTAAGTCGACAGCAGTAAGTCGACATTGCTTACGAGATGGTACAAATATAATAGCTGGTCTATCGGAAGAATAATTTGTGATAGCAACATAAGTTGGTTTAGCCATGGCCATCATGAGTGAAGCAAAATGAGGAATGCTGTAACTCTGAATATGAATTTCTAACGGTACAGGACGAACGCTAGGATGAAAATTAAAAATGGTATGAGGAGTTGCACCAATCCATTCTCCGAGATCTTGAGCATTGGCCAACGAGGTGCTTAAACATACAATGCGAATCGGATTCTTTGTTTGATGAGCGATGTAACGCATTCGCGAGACAATGATTTCGTATGTAGGTCCAACGTCACTGCCAATCAAATGTAATTCATCCGCTATAAATAATGATACAGTTTGAACATTTTTTCGTTGTTTCCATCGACGGGACATTACATCCCATTGCATTGGTGTGGCGAATATTACATCCCCATTTTCAAGTAAGCGAAGGTCCGCACTTGTCTCACCGGTAAGTGCCACTATATTCTTTCCACCTTGTACTTTGCCAAATTTTTGTCTCCACTGTGCAACTTGAAGATCAACAACTTCCTGGAACGGCGCGATATACACGCAACGTCCAAGATTTTGTTTAGTCCATAACCGTAGAAGAGCAAATTCAGCACAAACTGTTTTTCCACTCCCTGTAGGAGCTCCAACGAAAACATTATCATCCATGTTATATAAAGCATTGAATACTTGAGTTTGAATAGGATTAAATTTATCAACCCATTCATTATATACAGCTTCATATTCGGGATTGCGTAAAGCTGATACAGGTAAAGGTTGCAAATCAAGTAACTCTGTATGTGGAGGATACTTCTTTGGAAGTATTAAATGTCTAAATGATATTGGTAATTTGGTCTCACAATGCAACCAACGATCCGCTATAATGGAAATAAAATAATTTGGTGGTAATGGTTCAAAAAGTGGAACAGTGAACGTTATAACATGATCCTCTTCTGCGTATTTTTGTTTGAGAATGAATGAATCATGGTACAATATAACCTCTCCATCAACGTCTTCAACTATAACCCAAAAAGCTTCAGCTGTACCATGAACTTTCTCATCCCACATAAAATCGGGTGTGATTTTGAGTTCGACCCTTAATAATGATCTAGTAATTGGTTGAACATAAGTAACAAGATCTAATTTCGGAAATTGATGAATAAACTTGTGAATCAATTTTCCAACTTTGGGTATTCCAACAAGTTCCCCGATTTCTTGTGGATTCAGATCAAAATACCTCTCCCAAGGGAAATCTTTCTTCTCTACTTTTTTAACTACCTCCATGGGCATTTGTTTAAATTGACGTAACGGTGACATTGAAAGCCACATACGTTTTTCTACCATTTTACAGAGGTCTAAAGCCCTTCTAGATAATTGAGACCAACCTCGCTTAAGACATATTTCGAACATTGCTCTGAGAATTCTACTTGCTGATTGTGTAACATAAACCATATCAGAAACCAGTGCAAAACCTTCAAGTTTTAGTTGTGAAATGTAAGCTTGTAAAAGAACGTTAATTTTAGAAGTTGGTTCTTCAATGCTTTCCTTTACAGGTATAGGTACACGTTCAAGTAATTTGGATAATTCAAGCTTTTCCTCTTCACGAACAGGAATATATTTGAATTCATCGGAAAGTGCGAATACACGAAACAATTCAATATGACCCATCATAGGTTTTAAGTGCTGGTTATAAGTAGACATTGAAGTGTGGGTAATGTAAAAATGTGAAGCAATACGACCCAATTCAGTAACCTGAAATCTACCAGTTTTCTTATCATATTTTATCAAATTAGATTTGTCTAACAGTATGGCAGCTGAATGGATTAAATCAACTCGTTTTTGTTCAAGGTATGGATCATCTTCTAAATAGTCCATTGAAATACCATAAAGGTTGGGATTACGTAACATACGAACATATAAATACGTATATCCTAACCACTGAACTGCTTCATCTCGGTTTCTTACTGTACCCAAGACAATCTCTGCGTTTAAATTATCAGCCATTTTACTTATAAACTGACTTTCAATTGGTAATTGTTGGTTTAAAAGAGATAAATAATATTGAAGTTCAGTATGGGACGTTATAATAATACCTTCACCAAAAGTGTCATATTGTGGACGTCCTGCACGTCCCAACATTTGAAGTACGTCCTGAGGACTTAATTCTACCCAACGACCTTTTTCAGGCGAATAAATTTGCGTTCCTTTAATAATGACAGTATGCGCAGGTAAGTTAACACCCCAAGCTAAGGTTGCCGTGGACACGAGAACTTGAATATGACCATCAGCAAACAAATCCTCAACAGTAGTACGATCAGTACGTGACATCCCTGCATGATGTATAGCGAATCCAAAAGGTAACAACTCCTGAAGGTTTGGATCTTTTATACTTTGAAGTTCATCCTGTAAAACTTCCTTACTAACTGAACCTGGGTTAAGGAATAATCCAAGAGTATCCTTATCTAATGCCATATCTTTAATTGTTTTTGCAGTCTTTGCAGTTTCTTTTCTTGAATGAACAAATATTAACACTTGATTTTTTCCAGCTTGATCTATAACTTTTTGATAAGTAACTTCGTTCATAACCTGGAATCGCTTGATTGCCTTTTTTTCTGTAACTCCGATAAATTCTTGTTTTAATGGGCACGGACGAAATGTGCTATCGAAATGAAATAAGCCCTTTTTGGGGTCTACACGCAAAAATGTGGCTACGTCAGCATAATTAGGAAGAGTAGCGGATAGACCTACTAATCGAATCATTTCTTGAGTTTGCTCCATGTGACGAATAGTACGAGAAACGATACTTTCTAGTACAGGACCTCGATCGTCATGAAGCAAATGCACCTCATCAATAATGATAAGTTTAACAAGATTTGTATAACTTCTATCAGTAGCTTTTCTTGTTATAACATCCCATTTTTCGGGTGTAGTAACTATTATTTGCGTTTCTGAAATTTGTTGTTTGGTAAGTTGACGATCACCGGTCAATTCAGCAACTTTGATACCATATGGTTGTAATCGAGTAGAAAAGTTGCCAACCATTTCCTGTACAAGAGCTTTCATTGGGGCAATATATACAATCTTAAAAGAGTCTGTGTCAATAATGCCTGTTTCTACTTCACGATTTTTTTCAATTTCATTTAAAATACACAACATGGCAACATTCGTTTTTCCTGAACCAGTTGGTGCACAGACTAATAAATTTTCATCTTGCCCAAATGCAACGGGATAAATTTGACTTTGTATACGATTAAGAGTTCTTGCACCCTTAAAAGCATCTTGTATCCACACAGGAAGTTCCTTAATTGGAATGAGTTTTTCATCATCTGAAAATGGTTTTGGTTTTGGTGCAGGGACATGAATTTCTTCATAGCCCTTTTTAGAGCGTTTAAATGAGCCCTCAGGTAGTTTGCATTTTTTATTCGACATTAAATGACCACCTTGAGTAAACGTTAAAGATTCTAAATCTACTATTGCTTTTGGGGTTGCTGTTGTACCGGGAGGTAATGTAGCTTTGACAGCAGCCGGTACTGGACCAAGTGCAAAAGCAGTTCTGTCATCAATTTCCATTGCATCCTCAACAACACCTTTACGTGCAGCACCTTCACCACGACGAATCCTTTCCCCACCGAGATCTCTCAAAATCCATTCTAATCCATGTTCACGCATTTCATCTTCAATATTTTGACGTTCCCCTCCGTCAGTACCAGTTCTAGCAAGCTTAGTACACCAAACAATTAAATCACGATTGCGAGTCAATATTTTTACAAGATCGAATTTGTCATATTCAAATAAAGCCATTAACTCATTTTCACAATCGCGTGTATTTATATCTGAAGCGAGAATTTGCATTGTACTTGAAGTTTTTTCTTGTGCTGTATGTGGATCCGAATAATAATTAGCGACCAAACGTTGAAGCCAAAAGGCATCAATATCGTGTGGTGATATTTTTTGATTTGTCTGTGCGACAGACATTTTCTTCGATTTTGATATTTCTGGCCCTATAACAGTTTTAAAACCCTCATTTTCCTCATCTGTAGCAATTTCCTTATCTTCGTCGTCTTCGATTTGTCCCACACCTAATATTCCGGTTGTCTCTGCCTCTACTCCGCCTTCATCATCCTCCTCCTCTTCAGATTCCACTTCATAGGTTCCATACTCATCTTCCACTTCTTCCTCTTCATCAAAAACTACAGCAACCCCTAATTCATCATCAATTTCTCCTGGATCTCCTTCTTTATCCAGATCCATTACTTCTCCTGTATTATAATCGGTAATTTTCTTTCCCAAATTAACCAACTGAGCAAAACGTTCTGGTTCAATTGTACCAATAAAAGACTCAATCTCTCTTTTTCTATCAAAATCTTTGAGATTTTCATCTTTCAATATTTTTAAAATATCATCTGCAGCACTACGGACAACATCTTGAGCTTGATCACCAAGGTGTTGGTGAACAAATGCTAACATCAATTCATACGTTTCACGGGTTTCCTTTGTTCTTGGCCTATAAGATTGTCCATCGAAATACTCTGTTGCTGCTAATACATTAGAGTAACCATATGCTTTCTTCAAAGAACTACAGAATTATTAGAAAATAATTAGTTTCATTTTGTTTCTAATTCGTAAAGACGACATTATTATTACCTTTCTTCTTTTCGACGCCTCTTCTTTTCTTCAGCCTCAGCAGCTTGTTGGGATTTTTTCCTTTTTGCCTGTATATCTTTTACAGTATCCCTTTGAGCTCGGGAACCAAAATCTTTTGGATTAATTTTACCCCATAATGATTCTGGCTCACCAGAAGGCTCATGATCTCTTCGAGGTAATTCTGATCGGTTAGCCTGAAGGACGAGATTGGAGTTTGCAGTGTATTGATATTGATTTCCTCTTGCAAGCTGCTCGGCCATTATGTATGTATTGTAATAATAATAAATTTATTTAAGATGTGAAAAGTTTTAAAATTATTTATATTTTTTTTTTGCTTATTTTTGTAAAAGATTCAATAGTTAAATCACGTGAGAAATCTAGATATACAACCAAACAAAATAATTTTTAAAAAAATTGATTATTAATAAGAAAAAAATTAAAATGCATTTAAGAAATAATTTATTCATCGCACTTTTGTCACCCGTGTCACATCCTCTTTTTTTCATTTTTTATATATATTCTGGGACAGAAATTTTTTAGTCGTAAAAAATCTATTCTTCACATTCGCGTTAAATGTCACGTGCTTTAATTTTGGCCGGCATTACATAATTTTGCACAGAGGGCGATGTATCGCACGTGCGATGAATAAATTTACTTTTTAATAAATTATAAAAATTGTAATAATTCTTTATAATAAATTTTATAATATTATACTGTATTATGTTTTTACTTTTATTTATTAAATAATAATCTAATAAATTTCATATCACGTGACTTTGTACTGTATCACATCAGCTGCATCAGCCTATTTTTATTTTCTATTTTCTAAATTAAAATCCTATTTATCACCCATATTATTTGACACATAAGCAACTTTCAATAATATAATGCTGGCTAAATTACCTGCTTTAGATATTCTCTATTTTTTGAAAAATATTCATGAATTTTACATAATTATTATTTGATAAAAATTTACACAAACTTTTGCTATATATTATATAATCATCTGATCTGCTATATATATAAATAAGGATTTGCAATCAAAAAAAAATCTTTCTCAAACTAAACAAATTAAATAAAATGAGTTTTAAAGTAAAGAAGTATATCTGATATTAAGTTAAAGAAAAACATGAAAAAAACTTTGTTAATTAGCCTTCAATTAATAGTAATTTTAATCAATTTCATAAAAAAATCAAAAAACAAGAAAATTTCTAAGTCTTTGCTAATACTATTATTCTCAGGTAAAAAAAGAAAATAAGAAAGAATATACTATCTTACTACCAATTTTTTTTGTGATAAATGTAGCAATGATTTTAATAAATTGATTAATAAATTCAATATTATATAACGCAATCTAATAAAAGTGATACTTTTGAATAGTGTTAACAATTAGACCAATTGGACTTAATAAAACTGTATTACATTGAATTAAACATATAACTTTTATATAGTCAACTCTTGATATAGCGAACTTTTGATATAATGAATTTTTTGAACAAATATAAAAATACTCTTGTTATAGCGAATTGGTCAATCAAATCTCTTAAAATCTTCACTATAACTTTATAGCAAAATTGAGATCTAGGATATAGAGTTTGTTATAATAAGAGTTGACTGTATATCCAATTGTCCAATTCATGCAAATGAAATTATAAAATTACTAATACTGCTTCTGAATATATTCCTTGTTCTTATTTTATTTATTATCTATTTTTTTAACAAATACATAGCTTTATTCATTTATTGAGTTTTTAAATTTTGTTAATGACTACATCAGATAATGAAAAGATAAAAGAGTTAGAAGATCAAATAGTTAAACTGATGATAGCTCAAGATATAATTTTATTAATTTATGTATTTCATTATTATTTAGTGTTATAACAATATATCTAATAAATCTTTTATTCTACTAGAAATAATATATTCATCTATGATAGCTAGTATCTTATCAGATAATTATTTATATTTATATCTGTTCAGTTTAAAAGCATGCATGTATTCTTTTATTTACTTAAGTTATTATTCTTTATTTATATTCTAATATAGCTCACGTATCTTCTAATAAATACGTTTCTATTATAAGGATGAGTATGTCTCTTTCAAATAAATTATCTTAGATGAATTAGAGAATATGAGTAAATTAAAATTAATAGTTAAAGCAAAGTTGAAAATAAAAGGAGATATTATCATTTGTAGAGAAAATGATACTTTAGAAAATAGTGATCCTATTACTA